TAATTGTGTTATCCGTAAATATACGTGTAGCTACCTGATTTATGATCCTAGTTACTAAGTTACTAAGTCCCATGATCCTTTAAGTATACCGAACCCCAAAGCTTTGTGGCAGGGGGGCCTGGTGGGCTGAACTGGCAGCTCCTTCTCGCAACAACTTGCGTCGTAAGCCTAAAGGTCCACGTGCCCAAAGAGTAGAGACTTTTGGGCTTGAAGCTAGTCCCGATACAGGTACTTTGGGGCCAAAGTATATACTATTTGGGCACATGGACCCTTAAAGAAAGTACCACATGGGTCGTTGTCAAAATTACGGCCCCTTTTTGGGTCCTTATTATAATACGGCACCTACTATTTCCTTAACCCCACGTAACCTACCTTTTTAAGGACTTATATAAAGAAATCATATTAAGGAACCCTGAAAAGGTAGGTTCCTTAGGGTCCAGGTTAGGGTACCCAAAAAGGGACCCTAACTTTGACAAAAGCCCCACATAAGCCCAAAGTCTCACTGAGGCCCAAGACCGCGAGACCCTGTACTTCGCCTTGGTCTACGAGAGCCTGCGCCTGTAGGCGAGGACGACTTGGAGGTTCAGGGTAGTTATAAGGAGGGTTCCTTTAAAGGGATCTATAGAGTTATAGGGTTTAGGGATTAGGGTTCAAAGATAGTTATAAGTAGGGTTATGGGTTTAGGGTTATTGGTTTAGGGTTCTGGGTTTAGGGTTATGGGTTTAGGGTTAAGGGTTTAGGGTTTAGGGTTTAGGGTTTAGGGTTATAAGTCCCCCTAAAACGGGTTAGAAGTATAGTTGCCCTACTTATATCTACCCATGAACCTCCAAGGAGACCTCGTTTTCTTCGATCTTAAGTTGTAGTTGTGGCTTAGGGTTTAGGGTTTAGGGTTGAGGGTTGAGGGTTGAGGGTTTAGAGCTTGGGGTTTGGGGTTTAGAGATTGGGATTTAGGGTTTAGGGTTTAGAGTTCAGGGTTCAGGGTTTTGGGTTCAGGGAGTTTGGGGTGGTCAGGCGTTCATTCCAGATTCAACGGATGGCCGTTCGAAGCGGTGAACCTCAGCCCTAACGTCAAAATCCTAATGGGGCGTGTGCAGGTTTAGACCTACACCCTACAGCCTACAGGTGGGTTGAGATGTCTGGATCTTTCGTGCATTCGAGATCGTGTGAGAGCCCTGCGACTGAACCTTACACTTGGGAAAACCTATACTCCAAACCTTTCACCTCAAAACCTTCAACCATTGCCTGCCTTCACCCTAAGGGCACAAACATCTTTCAAAACTCCGAATTTTCAGCCGGTTGATGGCCCTCTTGCCTCCCGATTGGCTACGGTTCGGCTTTGGATTTAACTTTTGAGTTAGTTCTCTAAAGCAGGGTCCCGTTTGCAGTCTTTTTAGAAGGCTGTCGTGCGACTTTTTGGACCTGAGAAGGGACCCTACTGTAGAGAACTACCTTTTTGGTGGCCCCGCAGTCCCCTCCGGAAATCCGGCATTGGGAAGAGCCGCCCGTGGCCTCTTCAAAGGTGCGTTTGGGCACATCGAAAGACCCTCTGAGAAGTGGAAACACGACCTCAGGCTGCATTCAGGCTTAGCGCTTGGCAGATGCTAAGTTCATTAAGCTTGTACTTGTGGCTTCAAGGGGTAGCACTGGCAACTTTTCAGGATATTGGGCTGGCAACGAACCATATGCCCAAAACACGTCCATTCAAAATTTGGCGTTAAACCCTAAACCCTAAACCCTAAACCCTAGACCCTGGAAGGCCCCTCAAATCCCGAACATCCGACAACATTCCAGCTTCTCGATGGCAAAACTCCCGACGAAGGTGTACTCAACCTTATGGCACCAAATAACATCTCCCGGAGCACGCTGGTCGTATCCCCTGTGACCTATGACTTGTTTTTCTCGATGCTCCAAGAAACAGGCTGCGGGTAGTTCATCAACTCTGTCGATCCTTTTCTGGGGGCTCTCGTTTCCAAAGAGTCCGCACAGCACAGAAGTCAGGGACCCGAATCAACCCAAAACGCTCATCCCTTAACCCCTAAACCGTAAACCTTAAAAAAATCAACCCTAAACCCCTAAACCCGCAAAACGCTCATGGGACCCTGACAACCCCTGAAACCCTACGAAACCCGAAGCTTCCCACTGACCTCAGTTTTGGTGCATAGGGTTTTAGGGTTTAGGTTTCTTTCACTCCCAAATTGTTTTGGGGTTTAGGGTTTTCTTAGGGTTGAAGATTGTTTTTGTGTTTCCTAGCCCACAGGTTGCCGCTCTTCGAGGTCCTCACAGCACACCCCAAACTCGGCCGCGGACTTGGTTCCGGAGGGGGATCAGAACCAGTTTCAACTGCTGGCCCTGAGGACACCCGCTGAATTCGAACCGGTTTAAGGGAAGGAACGTGGAGACCTCGAAATTACAATCGTCAGACGCCAGAACCACCGAAATTTCTGACACTCGAGCAAGAAGGTGAGCCCAATACCCAATTAGTGTAGGAATGTAGATCAAATACACCAGGGAGCTCTAAGGGATATCAAGGTTTAGGGTTTAGGGGTTAGGTTTTGGGGTGTAGGGTTTAGGGAATCCCTAAACGCTCCTTCATTGCGGCTATGGGCTTCACTCATGCAAACCCCCTGCCAGCGACGCACTTTTAATCAACGAATCCCAACATCCTGGTCCTAAACCTCAGGCACTAAGTAAGCCCGAAGCCACGAATCCGGAGCACTGCTCTAAAACCCAAAACCACCACAAACCTCAAGCTTAAGCTATGGAAACTACCCCAAACTCGCCCCCGAAGCAGTGAAGAGTCATCTGCAAAGTTCCTAAGAGGGTTTCTAAGGGTGTAGGATTTTGGGTTAAGGGTTTAGGATATAGGGTTTGAAAGGGTTAAGAATTTGCGGTTTGGGAATCGATACGCCGGAGGCCCATCCCAGAAGTTGCCTTATAAGTTTAGACTCCGAACCCTAAACCCTAAACGCCAACCCCTGAACCCTCAACCATAAACCCTAAACCCTCCGAACCCTCCCGACCACCTGGTTCTCTAGTTTCTTGGGGTTCCTAAACGGAACCTTTAGCGTTCAGGGTGTAGGGTTAAGGGTTTAGGGTTTAGTTTTTTGGGAGGGGGAACTCAAAGTGAACCTTTAGGACTACGTAGGGGCTATACTACCCCCCCCCACACTTCTTCTGCTCAGAAAATCCTCCCGCTAGCGCACAAGCGCGCAGATCCTGCAGCAAACTTTGGGCCGAGACCCGACCCGAAGTCCTGAAGCCCAAACCTCCAGCTTACGGTGCACCTACACAGATCTTAGTGTTAGAATGCATTAGAATTGGACTTGGTACTCGCATTGGTGGTAGTAGTAGTAGTAGTAGTAGTAGTAGTAGTAGTAGTAGTAGTAGTAGTAGTAGTAGTAGTATGTGTCACAAGTAGCAGAAGAAGTAGTAGTAGTAGTAGTAGTAGTAGTAGTAGTAGTAGTAGTATCAGTGGTAGCATTGGTCTTAGTGGAATTAGTACCAGTACTAGTAACAGAACAAGAACTAGTGATAGTATTCGTGTTATGTAGTCTTTTGAGTATTATTACTAGTATGATTGTTATTTTTATATTATCAGTAACGTTATTGTCATCGCTACTGATTTGTTTTAATCATGGTTATTGTTATTACGATTATTGCTATGCTGTTGCTGTTGCTAGTCCAAGTGCTAGTGCCAGCGCTATTGCATTTTTGACTGCTATTGCTGTTTTCCTGTGTGGCTGTTACGGTTCCTGTTACTGCTGTTATTGGCACTTTTATTGTTAATGATAGTTGTGGTGCTGTTAGTACCACTGCTGCTTGGCAGTAACATTAAACCCTAAACCCTAATCCCTAAACCCCTAAACCCTAAACCCTAAACCCGTTACCGTTATCATCATAACCGTGAACCCCACGCTACCTGCCTCATGGTTGGGCGCCATATTCACCTCACAGGTGCTGCTCTTCAGCAAAACCACTTGGAGGATCATGGGACTTAGTAAGTAAGGTTATAAGTACCTCAATTGGGGTTCTAAGTAAAGTTACCCCAAAAATAACCTTGGTTGCTAAGTCCCATGATCCTTGAAGTAACCCTAAGACCCCTCTTATAGAACCCTTATGGTTATAGATCCCTTTTAACAAGCCCTTTAAAGAGATCTATAGTTACTAAGTCCCATGATCCTTTAAGCAGGGGAGCATGACACTGCCAAGCTTCAAGAGGATTTAGGGTACTAGAGCTTCTGCACCTTCGGCTCATTACTTGGAGGTTCAGGGATAGTTATAAGTAGGGTACCTTTAACGGAATCTACAGGGTTATAGGGTTTAGGGATTAGGGTTCAGGGTAATTCTAAGTAGGGTTATACGTCCCCGAATATGGGTTATAAGTCTAGTTACCCTACTTATAACCCTACTTATATAACCACCCATGAACCTCCAAGTAGGGAATTCGCGTTCAGAGTGCTGAGCGTGCCTGAAGTTGGCCAGCACGAGGGCCAATCGCATTCTTCTGCTTTCGCTTGAACCGCAGAAAGCCCGAAAGACACCAGCACACAGAAGTGCAGAGCCTGCACTCACGCATCAACACAACCCAAGGGACACTGCGACACAACACGACTCCATCTTGAAAAGGCTCCTTGCTCTCCGACTCGCGCTTGTTTCGAGCACGCAGGACATCTCGTCAGAAGCCTGAAGATGCTCAAAATGGCACTTGCAGGCAGCATGCTCCACTCTATGGACCCAGAGACTCCAACATTCCTTAATTAAGGAATATTCCTTAAATCATATTAGGGATCCTACTCTAATTTAAGGTGTATTCCGTAATCAAGGGATATGGAGTCTCTATGGAAAGGGCAGCAAGATGACAAAGACGCAAGGCTAGAATTGCAAAACGCGCGCGCCGGCAAAGCTTTGTTGCAAGGAGGCGCATACAAGCGTGAACTGGAGCTCCGGTCACAAAAACTCTGAGCTCCTGTGAGATTTCTTGCTGAATCTGACCGTTGACTCTAGGCATCATGCTTGGTATTCGTGAGACTCTGCTGCAGGATCCAATAGATCATTCCGATTGCATAAGTCCCCAAGGGTGCTGCATAGGCAGTGGCAAACTGCCAAGAGAAAGGCACTCCGAGGAACTTCAGCTGTCGCGGATGCAGCCGCTCATAGTCCAAGAACTCATTGACCCACTGCGTTGCTTCCGGAGACCCCTGCATTCTCCCTCGTTTCAACTCGACCCTGCGCCCGGAAGGTGATCTAACAGGTGACCCCGGTGACTCGCCGCCACTTGCTGGCTCGTGTGTTGGGGTCGCTTCAATCTCCTGAAGGCCAGCCCCCAATTCCACGTTGACAGTATTGCCCAGATATGCGAAAAGGACAACCATCAGACCGAGGAATACACCAAATGCTGCAGCGTAGCACATTATGTCAAAGTCGTGCCCAGTATCCAGAAGGACGGCCAGGCCGGTCAGCACCACCATCACGATTTCTGCGATCCCGCATAGCATCAAGATCAACAGCCTCTTGGAAACCGCACGATTAATGTCTGAGAAAATCAGTGCGCGAGTCTCAAACCACCAACCCAGAGACAAATCCGGCTTCAACTTGTCGGGAAATGCATGCGCTCCGATGTACTTCAACCGCTGCTTGTGAATGATTCTAGCACGGATTCGATGTAGCCTGTGCCTTGGATCAGTCCCACAACACAGTATCAACATTTCTCTGAAATCTGCACCCGGTCCCTGGAAGCAATTCCTCCAAGGGTAAAAGGAGGGACCCTTAATAAGGACCCCTAGGTATATACCCTTAATATAGCCATTATATACCCATTATATAGCCCATTATAGGGTAGGGGTCCCCATTAAGGGTCCCTCCTTTTCCCCTTTGAATTCCTCCATGAATGAATTACAATGCGAGAAGGCGAGCAGAGCCTGCTGCAGACCTCATGACCGAATGCTCCAAACTTCTGTAGGAGCCTTCATAATTAGAATAGGGGTTTGAGGGGTCCTTCTTATACTTGCTATAGTATACGCGTATAATATACCCCCAAACCCTCTTCTAATTATGAAGGCCCCTGAAATTACCTGCATGGCCCTCGACCTGAAACACGGCCAGAATCCCAACAGAAACTCCCCCTGACCCCCTGCCCTAAGGCTCCATGTACCCACATAGTAGATACTTAGGCCTTAAAGTACCTATATAGGGGCCCCTTTAAGGCCTAATGTACCTACTACATGGGTACCATGGAGCCTTAGACCCTAATACAGAACCCTAATAGAACCCCCTTAAAGGACCCCTCACAGGAACCCTTAAAGGAACCCTCTTAGATATGGGCACATGGGAGCCTTAGGGCTGAGGCAAGGTGCAGGATGATCGCCTGGAGCTTCGGGCTGTGGTGGTCGTGAAGATGCAAGAGGGATCCTGGGAATCGGGTTTAGGGTTTAGGGTTAGGAACTTACGGGTTTAGGGTTTAGGGTTTAGGAACTTACGGGTTTAGGATTTAGGGTTGAGGAATTTACGGGTTTAGGGTTTAGGGTTTGGGAGTTTTCGGGTTTAGGGTTTAGGGTTAGGAACTTACGGGTTTAGGGTTGAGGGTTTAGGAACTTACGGGTTTAGGGTCTAGGGTTTGGGAGTTTTCGGGTTTAGGGTTTAGGGTTTAGGAATTTACTTTCAGTTGCCATATTATATAGGGTTCCCATTTAGGGCTCTATAAGGGCTTAACTGTTAAGGAGTCTAAGTAAGGTTACCATAATATACAATTTCCATTAAGTGTTCGGTAAAGGTTTAGGGTTAAGGAAGGCAACAATAATCACATGGTTTCCTTATATGGGGATTTCCGAAACGAGGGGATCCTAATCTAGTACCCTAAATAGTAGGATCCCTGTTATAGGGACCTGGTGCCCTAAATCGGATCCCCATGAAAAGGACCCCCATAGCAAGATACCCCGAATTTTTGGAAACTCCCATATTGTGACTTGAGTTAAGTCCCTTAACAAGAACCCAGGATCGCAGCTCCCGCAAAGAGTTGGCTGCAGTGTGAAGGTGGTAGCATCCAATGAAAACGAAGATCACGCAGCCGCAGTAGAAGAATGTCGAGTCCCAAACAGCAAGAATGCTCCCTACGGTGGTTTTGGCATTGAGGCACTCGAAACCTTCTTTCAGCACGGCTCCTGTTGCCGTCCAATGGTTCGTGCTGTTCAAAGCTGACATATCTTGGCTTGTACTGCTGCTCGTCACAGCAGTCTTGTTATGCATCCAAACTTGTATCAAATCTGGAAGCATGAGGAACACCAGGCTCCCGTACTGCACAGGAACTGACACGATGGAAGAGTTGCGATACCAGGCAATCATCCCCAGCGTCGCACAAGCCGGCACCAAAACACAGAGAAGAGTTTTGCACCACTGCCGGCGACGCTGTGCAAACCTGTCTGCCGAAAGGAGAATCTTCTTGTTGAACACAAATAACAAGAAAGGATCGGAATTCTCCCGAAAAGCATTGTACTGGTCACCGTCAACAGTCACCGTGTTTGAACGAGCATTCTCGCCAAACTCCATGTAAATCACAGGAACATCAATATAGTCACCACATCTGCTGTGAACCAATACCCCAACATCGGGTTCAGGTCGGTCACGCTCTGCCTCTTTCGGCTTGGGCTTCAGGGGTTGCTCCTCGTCCTCAGACATGTCCGACTCCTCAGCACCCACATCCAGATCTTGAAAAAAATCCAATGATATGGGATCCTTCGTTTGACCTCCGGTGTTCCCTTGGGAACCTTGGGAGCTAAGACCCGGGAGAGACTTCTCCTTGCAGTGGATGGTCAAGTTGAGGCTAGGCCTAGGCTGGCCTGGCTGCACCCAGCGACGCATCACGTCGCGAAACTCAGCCCAAGTCGTCCAGGCGATTGTCGGACGCGGTGCATAAACCCGATCCAAAGCTTTGGATGTAACCATCATTCGCCAGAACACGAACCTAGTTCATGGTTGGGATGGGATTAAAAATGTACATCTTTATTCCTTACCCCTGAAAATGTAAAATGTTCCCCAACTATGACAAAGGAACGGGCCTAGCACCAAGAGTAGTGCCTGACTCCACCAGTAGGCCGTGGTCAGCGAGCCGTCCAGCAAGTGGTCGTGACAGTTATCTTGCCCGCCACGCTTCAGGTCTCTGTACAATAAGGAAATGGAAGAACCCAGACAAAAGGCTACTCCAAACCAGCGCGAGCGATGAAAGCACCAGATGACCCCCGTGAATGACATGAGCATCCATGAATATTGGATTCCGTCCCAAATATTGAATGCATAGAGTAGGGAATCCACTAGGAATCCGGCAGCACCACAAGTGAAGAAAATGACTGTATCCCAGACCTCAGCGAAAGAAAATGAAATATGTGCGGGTCGTCGGGATTGGAGATCGGTCAGCAACCGAACCGACCCTAACTGATTGCAGACCTAGGAACCGAGTCGCAAGAGGAAAGCTCGGCATGGAAATGTGCCAATTCAGCATCGAGTCGTGTGTACCGGCCGTGATGATCCTGCTGAGGCTTGGGGAAGGCTGCTCAGTTTTGGATGTTGTTGGTTAAGGTTTAAGGTTTAGCGAAAAGTCATGCATCCACGACCGCTACAATTCATGAAACACAGACACCATCAAGCAAAAGTTCCAGCGACGCCCGGGCCTCCATCGTTTCTTTTAAGGCGTCCCTGTCTCTTTGCTCGGCCTGGCCACCCGACGTCCAAGAAGCAGTGGTTTTTGCTCGGCAAAAACCCGCAAGGCCACAAGGACAATGAGAACCCGCCTGATGAGAGCTTGGCGCTGGCAGCTTCGTGTGGGAAGGAACGTCGTCTTCCTCATCGTTTGCCTGCCAAAAAAACTGAGCAGGCGACGTGAAAACCCAACGAGGGAGCGGTAGCCATGATTCCAAAACCCAAGCTCGGTTCGTGTTGCTTGAAATACGTACTTGTTCGGGGTTTTGAGGTGACAAGAGTTTCAAGATAACAACCTTGCTTGGATCGTTCCGTAGTTTGGCACCAAGCAAATCAAATTCGAAGCGCCCACTAGCACCTCAAGATTGCTCTGCAGCCATGATGCGCTGGGCTGTACATATGCATCTCTTGATGATCCTGCCATCTTTGGCTCAAGTGAGCAGCATCGCAAACGCAGTCACTAAACGATGGACTTGACCCAAAAGCTCCGAAACAGTTTTTCAGGCTAAATGACTGCTTGGCCACATCAAATATGGCGAACCCATGTCACGACCTAAAGCATGATGCTGGAATCTGCGACCAGCTTGCCAATCTGCACACCCTGTCGCCCATTGAGCAAGCCCGACTCCACAAAACAAGATCTTGTGTGCCGGTGAAAGCAATGCCCACGAAACTTGTGCCGAGATTCTGACATACCAGTGTGAACCGTACCCGCTTTAAATTTCGTACTTGCTTTAAGCTCTCATCCAATCCACGATGATGCCATGAACTCATAGAAACAACAGTTTTCGCCGGAATGATTGGCTCGAACACAAACCGTACATGTAGCACAATGTTTCTGATTACAAAACACAGCACCATCTGTCTAAAGACATCATGTTTTCGAGAACCAAATCACGCACCAGTTTGCCGACAACGGTTGCGTCGAAACACAAGCAAACGTTGCCACAAAATCTACCAAAAAGATCGATGCAGATATGGATGAATTCTGTTTTTTGGCGTGGGCGGGCCTCATCGACAGCAGTTGCTGCACTCGGTCCCAGTAAGAACTAACTACAATAATGGCAATTACAATAAAGCCTGTACAAAGACTATGCAAAACAAGGTGAAACAGGCTGCGACTTGCAGACTTAGCCGGCAGACGTTCAGCCAGATATGCCCGGCACCTAGCTACTACGGCCGCTCAGATGCCCCGCTCCCCAGTTGCACTGGGTCGCGCAATGGCGCGCATATTGCCCTGCTTCCCGTGGCTGGTAGGGTCGCGCAATGGCACACACATTTCCATGAGCCAACGCAACAAGCCACATTCAACCCTGCCCAGCTTCCCATCGGAGTGGGTCTCGCAAGGGCAAAGAAGAAAGGCCACGACGGTAGAGGCAGTGCCAACACAGCCATAGAAAGGGCCGCGGTGTACGCTGAGATATGGATGAATTCTGATGTTTGACTGAGACCCAAGACAAGATTTCTGCAAACCCACAGCGCTATGTTGATGGCGTCACAACTGAAACCGTGAGTCTAAAAAACTGTAAGTTGGCATTGCAAATGCTGCAGCCAGCTCTCAGTCCGCACAAACATTTGGTCTCTCACAAAACTTGCATTCAAGAAACAAAAAAAATCTTGCAGCCTGGAGAAAGACATCGAAGGTTGCAAAAGACTCAAATTCTGCCTTACCAAACAAATATTTGCATGCCATTCCCCGTCGAAAGTTGGCAACTCAGACTGGTATCTCATGACCAATCAGACCTTACAATCGTGTCATTCCATCTTGCACAGCTGCCGCTGCACTTTTTCTGCGGTGATCAATAAAGTCATGGCCTGTTTTAGCTGGACATTTTTTTTGGCGTGGGCGGGCCTCATCGACAGCACTTTCTGCACTCGGTCCCAGTAAGAACAAACAATGGCAATTACAATAATTACACCAGCGAAGACCCCAAACAGAATGCATCGAATCATACCGGTTCAAGTTGGAATGTGTTGGATCCCAATCTGGCTTCGCCAGCAGATGTTGCGAAGAAGAATTAGGCATTGGGCGATATATTTCTGCGAAAGAAGAGTGGGTGGTGGGACTCAAGCATGTGGGAAGGTTTTTGGGAGGGTCCAGGGAGCATCGTTCAGAGGATCTTGCTGCAACACCATGCACGGAAAACATGCACATTTCTCCCGCAACTGCCACATTGTTGCCTTTGCAAAACAGGATACCTGGCCTCTGCTGCAAACGTTCGCGGACGAAGTGCAAAAGAGCTTGGTGTTCGCTTCGGTTGGCTGTCGGACGGGAAGAAAACGAGAACTTTGCCGTGCATGTTTGGCAAGAAAGGTAGGAAGGGATTTGTCGGCTTACAAGGCAAACAAAAGGCTCTCTTAACACGGAACCATTCACGTTTTCTCTGCTGACCGAACGAAGAGCATTGTCCACAGGATTTTGTTGCCGCAGGAACCGCACAAAGAAAAAATGCAACTTCTCCTCAATTTTCATAGCATTACCGTTTTGCAAAACAGGATTCCTTGCCTCCGCTGTAGACATTGGAGGAAGAAGCACAACAGAAGTTGCTATATGAGCGACGAAGTTTATTTGGTTTTCGGCTAAAGGACGCGTATCCTTACTGCGGGCCCTTATCTCGTTCCCCAAGAAGGACTGGATTCCAGATGCATGTCAGATATTTGGGGATCTCGTTCGAGCACATGCTACACACATCTGCATGCCATAAAGGTTTAATGCTGTAGCAGCAGTGACAAGAGCAACAGCTTCACAAACATTAGCAGTAGCGGCAGCAGTAGCAGTAGCAATTGCAGGAGCAGGAGCAGGAGCAGCGGCAGGGGCGGCGACCGTGGCAGTGGCCGTGGCAATAGTACGGGTAACACTAGCAATCCTACGAATACTAGGAGTACCAGTACTACTAGTAATACGATTAGTACAAGAAGTACTACTTATACTAGCAGCACTTGTAGCACTAGTAGTTCTAGCAGAACAAGTAGTACTGTAATGGCTAGTAGTAGTAGTAGTAGTAGTAGTAGTAGTAGTAGTAGTAGTCGTCGTACTAGTACTGTTCTACACAAGGAAGGGGTTCTGACCTTCTGGGACCAAAGTGGCAAATGTAAACTATCTCGTTCTCTATCTCGTTCTGATCCGACACTCGAAACCGAAAATTGGCCATGTCACACCTGCGCTTCTAGCCATTCGGAAACGACTGCCATCTTGCTGTATGGAAAGGAAGGAAGAAAAGGAAAGGGACAGAAAGAGAGACAAAGAGAGAGAGACATAGAATAAAGAACGACAGATATGTAGAGTTGTATGTATTCATATACATATTTACACACACAGTTATATCTACTAACAAGTACCCATTTAAGCAAGCACATAATTATGATTGATAACGTTTAGTAACTATGAATATGTACGGTATGTACTTTCTTAACGGTCTCGTTTTAACTGCGGGCCCTATCTCGTTCCCCAAGTAACGCTGGCAAAACCGGTATTACCATGTCCCGCTGTACTCTTCACACAATAAGACCAAATAACCGCGGTCGCTCATATGGATCGGTTGGCTGTCGCACGGGAAAAAAAGTGTGAACTTTGCCGTGCAATTTTGGCGACAAGAAGCGCGCAAAGGGGTGCGTCGGCTTACAACACAAAACAAAAATCTTTCTTTACACGGAACCATTCACGACTTTTTCTGCAGACCGAACGAAGAACCATAGAATCTAGCTACCGCAGAAACCACGCACGGAAAAACACACACTGAATGGCAAGTAAGGTTTCGGTATGCGAAGAACCAGAACCAGCACCCAGGTCTCAGGCGACCACATGCTGGATGACTTTTGACATGTGGCATCATGGACAATAACTGCAAAGAGGAAGAGCAGAAAGTTCGTGGCCTGAGACCTCTACCTGCCTGACTAAACCACAACGCCAGCCTGAACCCCAACGCACCGAAGGGCAACACAGAGAACGTGGGCCTGACTGACTGCGCAACCTGTGACTCGTCACCAAACGTCCAATAACTGTAAGCTCAAGCCTCAAGCACTGAATGTACCGCTCCAAATGTACGGTGGACGCAAGCATGGAAGAATGGCACCCAACGCACGCACTGAGGGTTCTCGGCTTAGCCCCGTGCCATGTCCAATGGGATCATGGGGTGCAAGGTCCCAGCTGCCATGCCTGGCCCAGAGCACCTTGCTGACTCCCTCCAGCTGCCACGCAGAGCCCAGGAGCGGAGTCCCCCATAGCAGGTACACTGAAATGGCCAGTTTCAGCTTCCCGCATACTCAGTTAGCTTCGTTGGATGAGATCACTGAGCATGCGTCTCATCCCCCTGCTGTAGTGATAGAAGACCAAGAGAAAGGCAAGGCAAAGCATGTCAAGGGAGCGTGGCCTGAAGACCCTTGGACACAGGGTTGTCACACACACGCCCCGCCGTAGCGGGGCGAGTCAGGAAACGGCTGCGGTCAACCGTGCCATGTGCTTCGCCAAGGTACTGCGCCATGTTCTTTGCCACGGTGTCGGAGGTGAAGACAGCGTTTTTGCCTAGTGCCTCAACCTGCCTCCCTAAACCACAACCAGCCTAAACCCACGCACCGAAGACAAAGGCAAGGAGGAAGAAGTGACTGCGGGTAGGGGAATGGATACCCCCAAAGCCAACCGGGTTCGTCACGAAGAAGTCGTACATCTTCGCCGCGAAGAGGTCGTACAGCAGTACGCGGGTAGGGGGATAAAAACCCCGAAAGCCAACAAAGTGCACCAGGAAGAGGTCGAACAGCTTCGCCGCGAAGAGGTCGTACAGCAGCACACGGGTAGGGGGATGGATACCCCGAAAACCAACAAGGTTCGCCACGAAGAAGAAGTCGTTGCGGCAGTGTGGGGAAAGGGAATGGATACCCGAAGGCCAACAAACTTCGCCACGTACAGGTCGTGACTGCGCCATGTGCTTCGCCACGGTGTCAGAGGTGAAGACAGCGTTTAAGCCTAGAGCCTCAACCTGTCTCCCTAAACCACAACCGGCCTGAACCCCCACGCACCGAAGACAAAGGCAAGGAGGAAGAAGTGACTGTGGGTAGGGGAATGGATACCCCCAAAGCCAACCCGGTCCGTCACGAAGAAGTCGCACAGCTTCGCCGCGAAGAGGTCGTACAGCAGTACGCGGGTAAGGGGATGAATACCCGGAAGCCAACAAAGTTCGCCACGAAGTGGTCGCACAGCTTCGCCGCGAAAAGGTGTACAGCAAGCACACGGGTAGGGGGGGATGGATACCCCGAAAGCCAACAAGGTTCGCCACGAAGAGGTCGTTACGAAAGCATGGGGAAAGGGGATGGATACCCGAAGGCCAACAAACTTCGCCACGTACAGGTCGTGACTGTGCCATGTGCTTCGTCACGGTGTCAGAGGTGAAGACAGCGTTTAAGCCTAGAGCCTCAACCTGCCTCCCTAAA